AGGCCAAGTCCCAGCAGCACATCAAAATAGAAGAGAATGGAAATGTGAGAGTAGAAGCGTGGGCGCCACAGCCAGACCGGGGACAGCAGTGACACAGGAAGGACCGAGTGGATGGAATGGCCGGGAGGGGACTCAGTCCGCCATTACTCCCCACTCCATGCTCACTCCGTGTATAGAGCCACATTCTTCCCCTTCCGAGCAACTGAAGTCATCAGCCCCCCCAGCCTTCACCACAATCCCTATTTAACAGGAGAGAAAAATGAGAATCATGTGTTGACAGGACTTGGCAACGCAGCACCAAACACCTTTTGTCTCCCTTGCATCACTGGGACCTTAGGCAGGGAGGCAGGGCCTTGTCTGTATGGTTGACAAGATTAAAAAGTATAAAACTAAGTAGGTTAAGGCCCAAACCTAAAACGCTAGAGGAATCACGCCTTTATGGTGGGTTTCTGTCACACTGTCCTCCAGGACTGAGGAGCACCACTGGTAGACAGAGGAAGGAGATGCTATCCCGTTTGTCACTTGGAGAGTAAGTGACTAACTGGCTGGTCCAATGCATTTGCAAGTGTTAAGTCAAGTGCAAACCACCAAGCACTGAGCTCATCCTCTCTCTCTCTCTCTCTCTCTCTCTCTCTCTCCCCCTCTCTTTCTCTCTGTGTGCAACTTGTGGAAGCTGTTATCCTCATTTTGCAGATGAGAAAAAAGCTGGTGTGACAAGACAGCACAGCAAGTAAGTGTCAGAGATGGGATGCAAGGCAGGTTCACCTTGGCCACTAAGCCTGGGTCCTGCACAGCTAGTGCTTATTAGATGCCTCCTCACTTCTACCGAGCTCTTGATCAACTGTGCCTCCATGGCCCAGTCAGGTGATTGGGATGAATGGGCGTGGTCCACAATTGGGGAAACCGAGACTCTGGACACTAAGTGACTTGCCCTGCACTGTGCCTGTGGGTAGAGCCAGGAGCTCTGATCTGGGTCAGCCCATGGTATCTAAGTGTTGGGAACTCTGATCCTTGTGGAGAAGTTTGGGGGACATTTGGACACCCAGTGGCTAAGTGATGAGATGAGCACTCATTTCTCTCAATGTCTTAATGAATCCGGATATGAATGAGGTGGAAAGGGAAGGTGAAATCCAGCCTGGCCTCCTCATTCCCAACTATCTTGCACTTACAAGGTACCTGACACACATTTGCTCACTTGAACCGAGGTTCAGATGCCCACATAGCACTGCTCTTTTTTTTTTTTTAATAGATTGTTATTGATTTCAGAGATGGAAATAAAAACATCAATGATGAGAATCATAGATCAGCTATCACCTGCATGACCCCACTGGGGATCGAGCCTGCAACCCGGGCATGTACCCTGACCAGGAATCAAACCGCGACTTCCTGGGTTCATGAGTTGATGCTCAACCACTGAGCCACACTGGCCAGGCTACCAGGCTAATTTTTAAGTTGACAATTTTGTATGGTCCACGAATGTTATAAATATCCAAATGGCCCTTGGCAGAAAAAAGGTTCCCCACCCCTGATGTAGAGGTTATTCTTGGGGCCTTCCTCCTCATCCTCCAGGCCCTTATCATGGCTTCTATCAGCCAGAGGGAAAGTAATTTCACCCCGGAAGCGGGAGGCCTAGGTTTTAGTCCCAGCTCTACTCTAACCAGCTTGAGAACCTTAGATAGGTCCCCTTACCTCTTCCTGTATCAGTGACCAGATACATTAAATGGCATCCTTCTAGGTCAATGGTGTTCAACCAAGGGTGACTTTGTCCCTCATTTGGCAATGTCTAGAGACATTCTGGTTATCATGATGGGGTGCTCCTGGCACTGAGTGCAGGGGGGCCAGAGAAGCTGTTCAATATTCCATGGTGCCTAGGACAGCCTCCCACAAAGAGGTCTCAGATTCCAGCTGGGTCCCTCTGAGCAATCAAGTGAACTCTCTGGGCCTTAGTTTGCTCATCTGTAAAATGGGAAAAATGCCACTGGCCCACCCCACTCTAGGATTAAAAGACAATGTGGATCAAAAGACAATGAAGTTGGAACCATAGCAAGATACCATTTTTCACCTCCTGGCTTGGCAAAGGGAAGTGGAACAGGCCTTGCCATACACTCCTGGTAGGAGCACCAGATGAGTTAAGGCTGTCGGAAAGAATGAGGCTATTCTCTGCATGTTGCCATGGGCCAGGCATCAAGCTATATTATTGGGGGGATAAAGCAAAGTAGAGAATTATATGCTTTAAAAAAGAAAGCTATAGGGTTTTATATGAATAAAGAATCCTGGAAGGATATATAAGGAACTGGTAGCTATGGCTGTCTTAAGAGGAAATGGAAACAGAGTGACCAGGAGGCAGGAATGACTTTTCACTGTACGCCCCTTTTGTACCTTTTCAATTTTGTACCATGACACTGTATTCCCACTCAAAATGTAAAAATAAACTGCAAACTTAGAGGATGAAAAAAGAGACTGTTCAGGTACCCATAAAGCAATGACTCTAAGTCTGTTGACTGGCTCCACCAGAAGCATCTAGGATGATGCATGGGAAGAAAAACCCCAAGGTCCCCAGAGCTCAGCCCTAAAGTACTAAACCTAAACCTCTAGGGGAGCCGAACCGGTTTGGCTCAGTGGATAGAGCGTCGGCCTGCGGACTCAGGGGTCCCAGGTTCGATTCCGGTCAGGGGCATGTACCTTGGTTGTGGGCACATCCCCACTGGGGGGCATGCAGGAGGCAGCTGATCGATCTCTCTCATCGATGTTTCTGGCTCTCTATCCCTCTCCCTTCTTCTCTGTAAAAAATCAATAAAATATATTTAAAAAAATGTTAAAATATTTTTCAAAAATAAAATAAAATAAACCTCTAGGGGAGTAGGGGTGAGGTCCAGGGATCTAGACTTTAAACCGATATTCCATCTGTAGGCATAGACTGGTTAGAGAACCAAACAGCAGTGATAAGCTCTCACACTCAGAGCTACTTCTCAACATGGGGAGCCTGCATGGGCCTAGTTTAATGTCAAGGTCATACCATTTTTTAGTTCTCTTTCCTCGAGGGCAAGCATTTACATAGTACTTAGCAAGCTGTTGGTGTGCAATAAATATTAAATGGAGTGATGATTCACCAGGAGGCAATAAGCTTAGGATGTAACCAAACAGAACTTGAGGTGGGGCCAGAAAAAGATCTCATGAAACTCAACTACCTTAAAGACCTTCCAATTCCCAGTTAGGGACGTGCAAAGCAAAGGAAAAGAGTGGGTATCAAAGCAGGGGGACCTCTGTCTCCCAGACCCATCACTGGAGGTAAAAGTCAAATACCCCCCAACATGCACTAAATATGTGAGCCCGGTCCACCTGTTGAGTGAACCCTGAATTCTGGGCCATGAGCTCCTGGAAGGCAAGAAGTGTGTCAGTCATTTTGAATTCCTGGTCCCTAGCTGGTGCAGGTGTCAGTACAGTAGTCTGCTGGATCAGTTGGTGGACTGAGCCACAGGAGGCACACCCAAACCATCTTAAGATCCGAAGTTCTCAAGCAGGACCTGGCCCCACAGAACCAAGCCCTCTCTGACTCCTGCTTCCCTCCCCACAGACCTTGCTGGTAGTACTTTTTCTCTCTTCCAGCCAAGCTCTGCCCAGGTTGGTCAGTTTGCTCCCAGCCAATCTTGAGCCCACCCATCCTGAGGCCAGGCTACTCCGCCTCCCTACACCACCCACAGAAACCCCAAAAGCAGTGGTTAACAACAGAGTGGAGAACCCCAGCCTAGCCTCCCTTCATCTGCATCTCACCCCAAAATACCCAGAGCAAGGCACCCCTCTGCCATCCTTCTGCAGCCTTCCACAGCTTTCTATGAACTTAACTTCAACTTTTCTAGATCTTTCCCTTCCCTGAATGTTTTCAGATACCGATTTGCCACTAAGATGTCATATCTATGATCCTTGGCATTTTTTTCCACTTAAGCAAGAACTCTCACATGTACTAACTGCTGTCTTTTTCCAAGTCTAAAATCTGGCAGTAATGGCAGAAGTGGGGGTTATTATTAAAAGGAAAATGTTTTTCTTAGAAAACAAAAGGTTTTATAAGAGCTAACACTATTATAAGTTCACACTAATCCCAGAGCAGTGGGTCTCACCAAGGGTAAGCCCACATCCCTCCACCCCACCCAAGGGACACTAGGCAATGTCTGAGGACATACTAGGTTGTCACAACTGGGGGGGGGGGGGGGCGGGGGGGGGGCCCGGGGAGGAAAAAAAGCCCTGGACCCAATGGGTGGGGGCCCGGAAAGGTGCCTAAAACTCTACAGGGGGGAAAAAAAAAACCCCCC